GGCGGCGGTGGTGGTGGGGGTGGCGGTGGGGGTGGCGGTGGTACTGTTGTTGTCGACGGTGTTGGTGTTGGCGTTGGAGTTGTTGGTGTTGGTGTTGTTATTGCTGCTGCTGGTGTTGGTGTTGGTGTTGTTATTGCTGCTGCTGCTGCTGCTGCTGCTGCTGCTGCTGTCGTTGTTTGCTGTTGGGGTTGTTGAAGATGATGTTGTTGGTGGTGGTACTAATAAGATAATGCAAGGATGGAGGGTTTGCAGCACTTGCTGTGGCGGGAGCAACCAGCTACCTCAACAAACAGGGAACTACGATGTCATTGGATACTTCATCCTCGCTAAGCATGGGACGGCTATACTGTTGGGGACAAGTTTGTATGCCGTAATATGCGGTACCATCGTCATTTCTGCGTTTGAGTGTGTAGGAGTATGGTCTTCGACCTCATCCATCATGTACACGAAGCACCCAAGCTGGGTACACAACAAGATTGAGTGTTGAAGCTTAGGTAGGGTCGGGATCAAATCACACGATTCGAAACAAAAACCCTGTGGGAGGCAACTCCATCCTCCCCCGCTGAGCATCAGAGTGGCTTTTGTTCTCCGGTGCGAAATCTGGCAGTCCCGAAGCCTCGTCCCACTCCTGAAAAAAATTCAGACGCTTCATCCCACTGGTACGACATTCAGGCAGTTAGGGGAACTGCTAAGGGATTATCATAGTTTGTATGGTTCAAGCCCCATGCCCTACAATGTACTGGAGTGTTTTTCGGGAACAATTTCTTTGAAGCGCAGCTCGTTAGACCATTGCGATCCCAGCGTAGGGTTCTGCTGTGCTCGTTGACATGAAAAGCTGCATGTGCCTCACAAAGAAACTTGAAAGAGGCATGTGCAATGCAGCTACGCGTCCCGTCATGCACTGCACTCGAATCAGGCTAAATCCTGAAGATTCTGTCTAGCAGAATGTTGTGGCGCGCACGAATTTTGACACCGCACGTACGGAGGTTGTGAAACGGTTTTTCGCACAATCTACACAGCTGCATATCCTAGCCTCTGCTGAAAAGAACGATATCGCCCCAACAGAGTAGCCGGCAACATGGGCACATACTTGCTAACCTCTGCCTCGCACATGGGATCATTCGCATGGTCACCTGAGCTTGGATTCTGACGCAAATCTGCTATCTTGGTTCCATTGATAACCTTACTGCGCTCATCTGGTGTTATGAGGCCCTTGAACAGAAAGTCAACCACCTTCTCCATCTCCTGGTCGAAGAGCTCGGGGGAGCTAGTGACCTTCTCAAAGTCCAATCGAAAAGTGTCGTTCGACGGATGCTCGAACACGCCCGTCATGTTTTCAACCATCTGCAGCATGCGCTCTGCTACAAAGATCAAACCTTCTTTGGGCCCCAAAGACATCATCAAGTCTGAAGGGAACATGATGTTACCTGGCTCTTTTCCACGGTGATGATAACAGTAGGCAGAGACGATCATGGACACCGGATCTCGCACAGGTCCCAGCACACGCAGACCTTGAGGACCTGCAGCTTCCCTAGCTTTCTGCGCTCTTGCAGGGGAATACAAGTCGATCCAGAACTGGATTGGTGCCCCTGGGTTCTGGCAAGAGGTGTTGGCGTAGCAGGGCTGCTGCCACACACCCATGTTGCTGTCCACTGCACCAAGCGCCGTGAAGATTTGCGTCCATAACGTGATCATGAGAAAAACACCTGCCTTGTGGTGTACCACAGCAAGATACTTGTGTACATCCCAGGGCTTGGCCCCGGTGTGCTCAGCTGAGGAAAGCATCGATGGTGGAGCAAATCGCGCAAGGGCCTTCCTCTGCACAAAATTCATCGCATGGGACTCAAGGCTTGCACCAGAGCATTTCATGACTCCATGGAGCAGCAAACACGACAAGAGCCCCAACCTGGCTAACATGGCGGCAACGAGGCCGGAGGCTCATGTGTAGGTCGTGTAAGTACGTTAGGCCAGCAAGGTTGTCTGAGCCTAAATGCACGGGAACACATGTCCAATGCGGCTTCGCAAAACTCCCGGAACAAGGGGATGGGGAAATGTGCGGCACAGCTGGCTTGTAGCGCTTCAGTCGTAGGGCTTGCGGGACTGCCTGAAGATGTACAACAATCCATGCAATTGGCGCAGACCTCTGAAAGCCATGGGGGTTTCTCAATCTAATCCCTCCGTATAGTACTTGGCAGGGATCTTGTTGCCATCTATCCCTAGGTCCCCACAGATCCGAACATTCACCCTCCTCCACATCAGGCTACCTGTGAGGATGGCAACCCAAAAGCGAGAAGAGCAGAACAAACTTTGCGATTAGCAGCAACAACAATCTCAGATCATGCTTCCCATGATTCCAAGTGGACCTCTCCAGCTTGAACTCTTGCTCCGCAGAAAACTTTCTCCAAGGGGCAAAGACAAATTGGGGCTTAGGGTTTAGGGCTTCCACATTAGTTTGGAGCAAGTTGGCTTCAGTTGCGTGCAGGTTGTAATTTGTTTGGGATCGGAAAACAATAATTCAAGATATCAAATGGAATTCTGAGTCAGCCCCAAACCCCATGCTCTAAACCCGAATGAGGCCGCCCGAAAGCGCAAACCCTACATCTACCCGAATCTACCCCAACATCCCCCATTCTCTGAATCATAGGCTTCTGCAGCACCTCAGCGCTGCGACTGTCGAACGAATTGGTGTATGGCGTATAGGAATTGCTGCATCCCCAGGCACAAAGCAGGATCCTTTTGTATAAGAAAGCCCTTGCCCAAAAAAGTATACATGATTCCGAATGTGGACCAAGAAGGCTCTCAAAGTCAAGGTTTGAGAAGGAATTCTTGGATTGCAGTACGGGTCTTCCTCTCCCTAGCGGCGTTCTTTTGCAAGGCTCCCGTAGTCACAGGGTTCCCCTCCTACAAATTGAGCTGGAATCTTCTCAGGATGGGAAGATGGTCTTCACGGTGTAGAGGCCTAAACAGCTTGCAAATTATGTTTAGATTTCGGGCTGGATTATACATCAAACTCGCTAACAGGCAGTGTGCCAGCTCATACTCCACATCCTGAGCTCCCTGAGCGCTTAAGCCTATCCCGAACCCACTGCTACCATCTCTCTGTCCTCCTCGCAGTACATCCGCCTGACGCAGTGCGCGAGTGCATAATTTGGGGCCTGTATTCTTCGAAGGTAGATTGCCTAGATAACATGCGAGGTCCTGAAACCTGCGCAAGCTCCCGAGCATTCTTTGCCCCACCATGAATTAAATCTCCTATAAAAGGTATTTGCAGTATCCAACCTAGCTCGTAGTAGAAAGTACTGGAAAAGGCTAGCATTACAAAATGAACCGATGTAGACCTCTCCGTGAGAATAGCTCTGCGAGAGTAGTAGTAGTAGTAGTAGTAGTAGCAGCAGCAGCAGTAGTGGTAGTAGTAGCAGTAG